TGATGATGACATGGCATTCATAGATACAATTGGAAAAGAAGATTCACTTGAAGACCCATTTAGTGATGGGATATGATTGCATTTTATATGTTTTTGGAACTTTGGAAGTTTTGTTGAACTAATATTTTGTGATTTTGTAGTTTGGAAAATGATTTTATTGCATCTACTTTCTTATTTTCCACTATTTTCATATATCATTTAGATGTTTTTATTGTAAGGTACAATATTGCTATTATTTTCCTGCTAAAACCCTTGATTTTTCATTTACGCAATTCTGTGTCCGTGAGGCTTACGCCTCAGACCGCCTCGAGGCTTACGCCTCGCCTCACAGACGAAAATCGCCTCGAGGCTTAATTACGCAATTTTAAACCTTGGGTCAAACCACCTTGCGTTTGAACACAAGTAATAGCTCCTGCATATATATCCTTAATGACTTGAATATAAGCATTATTAACCCCTTTCTTTTGAAAAACTCTCCATAGCACTTCTCTTGGAACTTTATCTTATGCTTTCACTAAATCAATAAATATCATACATAGAACCTCCTTATTTTATCTATAATTCTCCATCGAACCTCTTAATAAATGTATAGCTTCCATGGTAGACCTACTCGGCATGAATCCAAATTGATTTTGAGAAATATTAATATCACGCCATAATCTATGCTCCATAACTCTCTCCCACAGTTTTAAAGTATGGCATATTAACATAATTCCCCAATAATTTGCACAATATTGTGCATCACCTTTATTCTTTTTAGTCTTCAAAATAATAGAAAAAGTTTAGAAACCAAGAAATTCCTTCATCTTCTAAGCATTTTCACACCTCTATTGGAATATCATCAGGTCCAACGCTTTTCCACACATTCATTTTCTTTAAAGCATCTCTAACTTCGGTTTAATTAATATGCCGATAAAAACAAAGATCTTTATTTTCATTTAGGGTGCTAAAGTCACTAAAGTCAACTGTATTCTCACAATCTTCATTGAAGAGTTTAGCAAAATATTAGAGCTCGTGATAAAAGGATAAATTGAACCCTTAAAACAGCAAAAATAAGTAAATAAATAAGTCTGCAGAAAGTTTAACAGAAAAAAAAAAACTTAAAAGAGAGACTACATCACCCTTAATAAACAAAAAATAGCCTTATCCCTACCATTCAAGGCAAGTTTTTATATTCCTCCTCCACTCATTTCAATTGACCCATGTAGTGCTAATTTTAGTTAGGCAAGTCTTCATTTGCTACTTGCATCAAATTATATTTGGCCCTACCCATTTAACTTTCGACATCTTCCACATTGATTCTATCAACCTCTCATATTGATGCATCATGTGCCTTTCATCGTTCATAACCAAGTCAATCAAATCTATTTCTACAACATCATCAACATTGGGTGGTAATGTCACAGCCTCTCAAATACAATCATATCATGATATAACCTTCTAACCCCTACTGATGAGGACATCAGCAGAAGATTTCGGCGCGTCTATCTTCGGAGGAATCGTAGATCAACGGCTGCGATTCGAATTCTTTATTTATGATGCATTTATGTATTTTATTTTTATTTATGTTCTAGTTTACCATTGTACCTCCAAGAGGGATTAGTTTATGTTGTGGCCCCGAGGGCATTTGAGTCTTTGTGTTTTTCTTTTATTTGAGGCATATATATGATGTTCCTCAATATTATATGAGATGATGATTGATGAATGAAATTGCAGCTCTTGTTCTTTGTTTCTTTATGAGCTCTTGATACAAGAGAACCCCAGGAGAGGGCCAAAGCAATACTCGACAGCTGCCGGAAGAGTTCAGGCTCTCGGTTTCCCCTTCCCCTTTCTTCTTCCCCACCCTTCCTTCTCACCTACCGCCGTCAAACCCACCCAAAGCCGTCGGCCAAGCCTCCTTTCCCTCCTCCACCCCTAGTCGCCGGCCTAAGCCTCATTTCCCAAGCCCTAGCTGCCAGCCTCATTGTTCCCCTACATTCATTACTTTCCTAAATTAGCCCACTCTTGATTTGGAAAGTATTATAATTCGAATTCAAAGAAATTTGAATTTCAAATTCTTTCCTAATTAATATTTCATATTTTAGGAATTTTCCAATCACCAAAAATCTGAAATTAATTTAGATTTAATTCCCCCAATCAATAATTAATGCAAGGATCCACATACATCGAATGTGGACACCTTTTTCTCTCCCTTCTTTGGCCGACCCCCCTATTCCCTCTCATTGAATTAATGCTCCCTATTAAGGCTATCAATCAACAACCTTTCATCAAGGTTGGCCGCTCACTTACTCCCCCATCAAAGGAGATTTGAATTTCAATATTATTCCCTCCCTTTCCATTCAAAATCTGAAATTAAAATTATTGCCTCTCCACCCACATAAACCAAAAAGCTGAAATTAAAGAAGTCTCTTCCCCTGGCCTTGGCCGACCTCTCCAAGCTTTCCCTCTTCTTCTCTTCTCCATTATTTCATACACCCCAAAAAAGAAGCTACGCAATCCGGCCTTCTCCCCATGAATGGCCGATCCTGAAAGAGACCATGGATTCGTATACGATCATCAAGGATGAGTAGATGTGTTGACATCATCCTTCTTCGACCTCAACTTGGAGATTGACGACACCGTCGACGACTATGTCGACTGGATCCTCTTCACTTTGACGTCTGCCATCAACGAGCACCAAATCTCCGGACAGTGGCGAGTTATTGGACATCCACCGACTTCTCCCATCCAGCTAACTTTTCGTTGGGCAATACTGCATGCGTCTTCTGTCTCTTAGTGGCGTCATTAGGTTTGCTGAAATTATTCTTCCGCTAAAACAATCCTCAAGAGTGAGAGTGAGGGGAACTCAAGGTGAACTTTCTATTTGTTAACCTGTGGATTTCTGTTATTTATGCAATTAGTTTTACTATAATTTTGTTGATATTTTAAATCACCCTTCTAATCTAGTTTGTAATAGCATGCCAAAGCACATCAACAACTAAGAAATCCTAGAATCTAGTCTTGTGAAACATTAATTTTAAAATTAGCAAGCTTAAAATTTTTTTATTAAATTCCTGCAATTCCTATATTTAACATCACCTACATTCATTTAACATTCTGATTTCTACCACATAAAACTTAGTTGATACTAAGTTAGTTGCAGCAAAAATTTGGATCTATATAAAATAGCTAATTTATTGCTATTTTAAGTTTTTCCTTTAAATTTCCACATTACTTTTCATATAATATTCTAAGAAATTAATCCATTTTAATCACCCAATTTTAATTCTACAAGTTATATCCATCTCTATATCCTCATTTTTTTATGATAGAGCCAAGATGTGCACGCACATCACACCTATGTATCAATCCAACTTATTGACTCATAATAATTAAAATTGAATCCACTAAAATTGAATACCCCGTGGTTATTATTTTACTAATTTTAAGGGCCATATGTTCAAATTATGATTTCTCCATAATTTTGACCTCACGTTAGAATTAGTCTCACCTACAAGACTTTGTCTATTTTTTTCCATGTAAACAAGACTGGTCAGAATCTTTGTGTTGTCTCCCACAATTTTCAATTAATTGACTAAACATAAAAATTGCAACAATGTTTGACCAAACATAAAAATTGCCACCATGTTGATCTTCCTATAATAAGCCAACTAGACTCTTTGGAATCAATGTTTCCTTATCATTTGTTCCAATCACAACACGTGTTAGCTTAATTCACCAATAGTTAACAAAATATTGTAAATCACTTTGTATTTAAAACCAGCTCATAAATATTTCTTCAATAATTAGCACCCGCTTACCCTTAAGAATTTCATTAAAAATTGTGTCAATCATATAACTCTAATATCACCCACTCATCAAAAAAACCATCATCATAATTATTAGCCCTTTCACAATTATTCGAGACTAGTTTTATAAATCCTAGTTCCTCACTGATTAATGTTGAGTGTTATTGAGAAGTTACATATATTTCACAAATCTTTTTGTGCAACTTCTATTTGGTTATCATTGATTTACACATATTCTTCATAATTCGTTGACATCAATTTGATTTACCTATATTAATGGTGCACTTTCTTCCCTTCATTGTACATGTCCAATCCTCCCCATATATTTTGCACTGCATTTTCTTCGATATATATTATTACCTTATGTGAGCCTCGAAAACAACAGCGGCACTGCAGAAGAGAACTGAGCATAGTTGATTAATGCACTGTCTAGGCCTGCAATAATCAAAAGATGGCAAATTAAGTGTATTTATTCTAGAGATTTTTCCTGAGATGAATGTGTCTCCAAACTGGATTTATTTTAATTATAGGGGTTAAGGTTTTCCAAAAGGGTAAACATCTACAGTTAATTATATTTCAGGCATGTCTAGAACACTTTTGATTAAAAAGTCAACACTTGTGTTCAAATCGGACAAGTACAATGTAGCTCTAGTCAAGTAAAAGTTAGAATGAAACTTATGGGCCTTTATAGAGGATGAGGGGAGGATTGTCCAAGGAACCAAGAAATGTAGACTCAAAAGTACCAAAACAAACACAAAAGAGAGACGTATAACTCCTGCATCAACTATAAGGAGATGCCTAAGACTGGACCTATGATGCCATGTGGCAGCACCTATCCAAAAGAAAAGGAACAAGCAGATGTATGAAAGTGAAGCCTAACCTACCAAGTGGATATGATGCTCCTGGTCAAAATCTCATAGTTTCATTGCCTCGAGTTCATTAGTGCCCGTAGTTTACTTAGTCACCTAGCGCCTTGATAGATGAAATTACACTTGAGGGAGAAACCAAAACTAGACATATAGCACATGGTAGTGATACATGCCAAGGCTGACAATGCTGCTTAGGCTTTAAAGATTGAAGGGTAGGAAAGAAAGGTATATTTTTCATTTGAAGAAGAGGACACCAAAGATGAGGCTTATAACTCAATTGTATGGTATTGGGAATGCCTGGGAAGACGGGACTGATATGGAATCTCTAAACATCTAAATGTAATAGAAAATATATCCAAGGAGTGGGAATTACAACTTGATCTCATATGATCAAGAGACCCGAACATCTCAATATTGTAGATGATATATCAAAATGGGGGTTACAACTTGTTCATGTGTGATCAAAAAAGCCTAGATGTCTACTCAATATGGTAGAGAAGACATTAAGAACATGATAGAAATCCTGAGTATCCACTCAATTTGATAGAGAAGATACAAAAGGTAGGAAAAAATGTGGAATGATGAAAAGGAACAGGTATTGTTGGCAATGATAAGACTAACAGCTTGATCATCTGGGATCCGACAAGCCCAAACATCTCCTCAAATGTAATAGAGATGTCGAAATGATCTTACAACTTAATAATGCGCGACCACAAAAGCCCAACTATCTTCTCAATATAGTAGAGAAGATAGAAACCTAGACCGGTTAGAAATGCCATCTGATACATCTAGTTGCCTGTGAAAGTGATGGGTCGGTGATTCCTAAATAGAAAAGAAGATGGACCTATCCTAAAGCTAGCTGTGTAAATTCTATGTCTAAATTATATATCTTAGATTGGATCCTAGACTATAAGCAAACTCACAAGGGCATGATATGATGAAGGTGTAAGCAAGGCTAGAGGCTAACGAGTCATCTCTTTATATCATCCATTCATGTCCAACACGATGAGCCCATATGCTCAATCATTGCTCCGACTGGAATCATGAACTAGCTATGGTTTTATCTGAAGTGAGTCTAACTTACAAATGAATGGTATGTAAGCCTAGAACTTTAATTGTCACTATAACCACTAATCTAGATAACGTTGATATACCATAGAGCAATCAATGTAAGGTGGTGAACCTAGTGCAAGGCAATAGAAGACAGATAAAAGAGTGTAAATTCCTAATTGTTTACATTTCTAAAGGTTTCCACCCTATGGTTCCCACTTCCCAACAAAACATATGTCAACAGCACAGCAAAATGATTGATCACACCACTTGTGTGTATGGAGGTGCAAAATAATGAGACCATGAGATATGTAAATAGCATACGTCTACAAACAGTTGAGAACAATCAAACACAAACAAATATATGAAGTTAACATTAATAAAGCAGAGTTTATATCTTCACAAATGCATGGATACACATGCAAACAAGATTATGGTTATTATATTTAAACTGAAAAAAATAATAATTATTTAATATGAAAACATGTTTTAATGTTAAGTATTTAATAAATAAAATTTTAAGCTAAATCTAATAAATTTGATATGTAATGAAAATCATTATGAGGAATGAAAGATTTATTATTATTATTATTATTTGATATAATTATAAAACATGCTTTCCAACAATATGAAAACATTATTTCTTATTTAAATATCTAAAGAAACAAGGTTTTAAATTATTTAGAAAAATATTTAATTATATTTGAATTTCTGCTTTATTAATCTTAATTTCCCTTTTTTATATAAATCAAAATCACATGCAAGAGATTGAAAGAACTAGAGTAACGAGTAAGCTAAACCGATGTCCATTTGTAATATGGTAGCAAAAAATAAATAAAGGTAGAATAAATGGCAAGTTGAGATTTCAACAAGGTTATATGGTAAACTACGCCTCTAAGTAGTAAGATGAGTGTTACAGGTCAAGGATTTGGACAAGCAGGTGTGAGACATGGGTTCTGATGAGGGCCGGGGCAAAGGAGAAGGCTGGGAATGCAAGTGAAGACATGGAGTGTTGTAGGATTAGTTGAGCAACATTCTAAACCGACAACATGATGGGAATTTTGAATTTTAAAATTCTAATTAATTATCGTCAATTGCCCTTTAATTAATGGACGTATAATATTAGCCCATATTTATTCGAGCAAAACTTATTTAATTAATTGAAATATTAACCCTTTTTTTAGGCAACCACCACACTCAAATTAATTAGATTAAATGAGTCAAATTTAATCAAGTTAGCATTAATTGATTAGATCGATTGAATGATAATTTAATTAATTTAAATCAATTAAACTTTCTAATTATTTCTAAATTTTGAAATAGCCACCGCACACAAATTCAACCATTCAAATCAAGTCATACTTGATCAAACAAACCTCGATCGATCAAATCGAGCAACATAGATCATGGTAATGGTGAAACACATGATCGAATAAAGATTGTGATCGCAGTGAGACATGATCGCAGCGAGATACACGACCAAGCAAAGATCAAGAACACGGCAAGACATACACTTAAACAAAGATCACGATTGTGGCAAAATGCACGCAACCGAACGAAGATTGTAATAGTTGTGAAATGCACAATCAAACAAAGACCGTGATTGTGGTGAGATGAGCAATCAAATTATCAAACAAAGCGGAAGTATGTGTGTGCAATAAGGATATGGTCCTAATCAAGATATCTAAGTTCGAATCATCAAGTGTATAAAGTGCCATGAAGATCGAACCCGAAGACTCAAAGCCAACCAAGCTGTGAGCAATGGTCAAGCTCAAGTACGACGAAAGCAAGGTTAGCACCTTCATTTCTCTTACCTCTAATAGAAAATTTGGCTTTGCCTAAAGCTAAGCTTGTATGCATTTTATTCAAAGCCAACAATTTTATTTTTTGAATAATCTATAATATACTTCACAATTCTCTTTATTTTGCTCTACTGCATGAAACTCCTCAATAAATAATTCATTTATAATTTCTCAAAATAACATTTTCATTTCTTTTTATTGTCTTCATCTATATACAGACATGCTACCTCCACTACTAACACACCAAATTTGACCGTACTCTCTAAATCATCATTCTCTTTCCCTTGGTTGTTTAACAGATCTCCATTCTCTTTCTGATACCCAACTTAACAAAACATAAAGAGTAGCATAAAAACATATAAAATTTATGAGATGAATTTATGTCCAGGAAGGGGAAATATTCAAGCTTCCAAATAAAATCATCCAGTATAAATAGAGCCTGAGATGGTCAGGGCCATCCTAGAAATTTAAATAAATCAATCCCAAGGCACTTGTGAGATGCCAAGTTAATTCATTATCATCCCTCTACTTTAGTTTTCTAAACAATCAGCATGAGCTTACCTATGATATTCAAATAGTTTAAGAAAGTACAACAACTCAACTCAAAATATCATGAGTGATCTTTTAGCAAGCATTACTTGGTCAGCAGATAGAGAACTGATAAATTTAAATATGCTTGCAATTAAGCCACTTGTCCAATCAACTGCAATTCGTACCCAACTAAATGCATGGAAATTGGGTAAGCGTTATTTTGCATTGAAGGAATTACGATTTGAAATTTAGAAAAGTAATTCAATAGAAATAAAATAACATCTCAATTCTTTATATAAAGTCTCACACACTAATTGTATAACTTTTTCAATTAACAATACATGAACTCACAGGTAAGCGATCCCAAACAAGTCGAGCATCATTTGGCATTGCATGGTAATAGGAGGAACCAAAAGCAACCGCAGCCACGCCAACAAAAAAGAATGACCAACCCCATAGCTCGCCTTCCAAGCTGGGAAATCATCAAGGAGTATTAAACTAAAAATAATAATTTCAGATTTTAAACCAGAAAGAAATAAAACATTAGCCAAACTAGCCAATACCTCAATCTAAAGTAATTTCCATGATAGCAAAGTATAAGCCCAACAACACCCACTACAAGGTAAGGAACGTTTGATACAACATTGAGTGTATTCGGTATACCTGCAGAAAACAAACAAGCAGATATTTGGATTAGAGAAACTGATAATATTGCAACCAAAAAAGGATAGACAAAAAAAATTAACACTGTATTGGATAAACTCCTGAAGCAGTAAAATAAATCAAAAAGTTGTGTTGCACAATTTCTGAACGCATAAAGATCTAGATAATGAGTGCATTAGAAGAAGTTTGTGAAGCTTCCTATATCAATAAGTCAGCGAAGACATATTTAGATCGGAAAAAAAATCCCATTTGATTAAGCATATTTTTTTACATGAAGCACAAAATTCGAAGAGCCGCAAAAAAAGCAAAACATGGGTTCATCAAGTTTAACAGATAATTGAACAAAAGTTTGGATGAACCTGAATTAATTCAATTGACTTCCCAGAAAAATTCTGGAAGGAAAGTTGATAATTTTGTAGATTGGTCAAGCCGTATCCTAAAAGAGAGATTCAATCAATCCGGCCAATTTAATCCAACCCTAGGTGAATGATAACAAATTGATATAGATCCGCTCCTACCTTAGGCAAGGGAATTTCATAGCAAGAGTTGGCTACTCTAACAGCTCTTCCATTGCAAGGCTACCACCTGGTCATCAGCAACCTCAATTGGTACCAACGTTCCCTCATTTGGTTGTGGTATTTTCAATTAAAATAAGTGAAAAATAAAACAAAGAAATGTTTAACAAATAATGGCCTTAAACTACTAGAATATATATTGAGTATATGATATATAATTTTAGTGGGTATTATTTTACCAATTATCAATCAATAATATTAAAAACTAAGGTGACAATTGGGTGTAGTAGGTTTAAGTATATTGGATCTATTATAAAGAAGAATGGATATATATAAATGAGAATATAACTTCTAAGTTTAAGGCTAATTACCAAATATCTTAAGAGTTTTGTGTGATAACAAGATATGAAAGAGGCTTAAAGCTAAATTTTACAAAGCCATGATTAGGCTAACGATGTTTATGGATCTGAATGTTGGACTATAAAAGGTCATTAATATATAAAGTAATTATGGAATAAATGGAAAAGCTAAGATTGATATGCCGTAACTAGGATAAACTAAGGAATACATATATTAGATAAAAGCTGGAGTGACATCTATTGAAGATCAGATGGTCGAAAATAGACAAATAGTTTGGACATATATAATGAAGATAGAAAACACACCCGTTAGAGGAGAACATAAAATAACGTTAGATGATCAAGTAGGAAAGCAGGTAAACCTAAGTTACATGGATAAAATTTGTTAAAAATGATTTACAATGAGTTAGTTTAACACCTCATACAACACTCATTGGAAAGATGAGAAATGAGTATTTATAATGACAAGCTAGATAGTTAGGAAAAGTCCAACGATGATGACTTTCCATGTTCCCAAACTCCTCCAAATTATTGGCAGCTACACTTTCACTTTTTTGAGACTCCTTGAAATACAAATGTTTCTCTCAATGAGAGGAACAATTTCTTAGCATTTTCGTAAACAATGGTATTTGTTTTTGAGATATATGAATAGGGAGGTAGAACACATTCAACATTTTCCTATTAATTGTTGATTTGTTGCATCAAAATTAAATTTTTTATCACAAAACTCACATTTGTAGCCACCATTGTTATCATGACATCAATGTCAACTTGTCAACAGCTTGATGTTCACATATAATTGGTTTGGAGATTGTGCCAAGGGTTGTAACCATCGAAGCCAGCTTAAGACTTCACAAGCATCTTAGCTAGCCCAAGGGCAAGGTACGTTTAATTTAAGTTCTTATGATTTTTTATAATAGAATGGGCAAACTTTGGTTGGGGTTGAGCAGCGGGGGCGCTCAAGAGGGCCCTTCCATCCACCCCCTGCAAATTTTATAACTCTTTTATATTATTATTATTATTTATTCTTTGCTAAAATAGAAACATAAGTTTATATAGTTTTTTATTATGATGCACCGACACTTCTCCTCAAAGAGGTATGCAATGTTCGACGCGTATCGAACACGACACACGTCTGACACTCCTCTGACAAGCAACGAACACGCCAACGACGCGCTTCGATCACTCCACGGTGCTCATGTCGTATCCGTGTCACTACGTCAATGTTTATGCATTATAGGTTTTTTATCATCTTATATTTTATCTTTTTAAAATAACAAATTAAAAGAAAAAGTATTTTAAAACAGCTCTTATTAGTCCCAAACCCAGATGAAAAAAGTTGAGAAAATATTTGAAAAAAAAATCATTTTGCACCCCCATTTAAAAAATTTCTGGCTTCACCACTAGAAAATTGAATGTTCAAAATCTACTCCATACATCAATCCAATTTTGATAAGCATCAAATTTGAAATAACAAATATACACGAATTTGACCTAACCAAGTCTATAAATAGAACCCCAATTCAATTCATTAGGGGCAAGTTTTCTACAACTTTAGTTCAACTGTCACACATGAAGCAAAGAAGTTACCTTAGATGTGAAGTTGCGGTCAAACTTCAATTAGGTCATATAAACTATCATTGGAAGTTTTATTTTTCACTCGTGTAACACAACAAGCAGAAAAGTATTATGGAAATCCACAAAAATATGCAGCAAACACTCTTTATAACTCAGACAAGCCAGCTCATTCTCAGCTTCAATCCATCCCTTTTCAACAAATAAAAAAAAAAAAAAGGAACATTGCTTAATCTGGGCAACTATCTCTCAATAAAACCAAATTTCTCCCAAGTTCAGCAGTTACGGAGCAATTGCACTGGAATCAGCACAGAATGGATCTTCAAGCAGAATTTACGATAGATCCTTGAAAGAACCGTTAGACAGAACTAGGGCAGGGAAATTAAAAGATAGGGTTAACCGATACCAAAGAAAAGCTTGCGCTGATCAGCGAAGTTGTGGTACTCTTCTGACTGCGGAATCGAAGGTGTAACAATCATCAAAACAATGAAGATAACGATCGCAACTCCCCAAGCAAATAATTTCGCTTTGCCCATCCCTGCCACCTTATCGTCCACTATATCGCTCGATAGCGCCACCCTCTACCGCAACGAGAGAAACCCTTGATTGCGTTTTGATGCTTTATCCATTTTCTTATTTCTTACTAGAATTAAAAAAAATAAAAAATAATTTTGAGTTTGTGCTCCCATCTTTTTTATTATTATTATTAATATGCTATTATTTTAAACAGTGCACTTCACGCCCAATCTGAGCCCAAATGGGTCCGAATCAAGGACCCGAAGCGCTGTTGAAAGGTTCAAACTGCAATTTGAGTTACCAAACGGTCTCCGATTTTAACGAGCTTATACTCGAATCGAGCGGCTCGACGAGACAAATCCAACGAGCCCAAGATCGTCGAATTCTGGCATCATTAAGGCCTCCAAATGTCCAACGAACAGTGCATGATCAAAGGATTCGATATCGGCCGTCCATTCAAACCACTCCCAATTCGCCCATGATCTCACGCCTGTTTACGGGCTATGCCACTCCAGAAAAACTATAAATAGAGCCCTCATTCTACACAAAGAGGACTCAAGTGAAGAGAGAGAAGAAGAAGAGAAGAAGGAGGAGAAGGAGGAGAAGGAAGAAGCTCCTCCTCGACCACCGCCGGAGCTCTTCCCGCCGCCTGAAGACGCCGGAACTCTGCCGAATTTTCGGGAGAACACCATAATTCTGCCTAACTTCCATGGGATGCGGAAAATTTTCCCAATTTACAGCAGAGTTCCCTCATGACGCCGAAACTCCGCCCAAGTGAAGCCGGATTTCTTATCTGCCACCAACAAACGTCGGACTTCTACTCGACGTCAGACCTTCACTCTTCGCCAAGTTTCTACCCGACGCCGGACTTCTACCGGTTATCGGACTTCGCTGGACGTCTATGCGAAGATGGATTTCTTTCTATTGTTGGACTTATACCTGACGCTGTCCTTCTGATCTTCGTCGTCAGACTACAGTCTTCCGACCTTCGTCGCCCGCCGACTATGGTTCTCTTGACTCACGTCGCCCGCCGACTACAGTCTTTCTGACCTCTGTCGCCTGCCGACTACGGTCCTCCTAACTTACGTCGCCCGTCGACTACAATCTTTTAGACCTCTGTCGCTAGCCGACTACGGTCCTCCTGACTTACGTCGCCCACCGACTACAAGCCTTCCGATCTCTGTCGCCAGCCGACTACGGTCCTCCTGACTTACGTCGCCCGCTGACTACAGTCTTTCGGACATCCGTCACCAGCCGACTACGGTCCTCCTAACTTATGTCGTCCGCCGACTACATTCTTTCCGACCTCCGTCGCCCGCCTACTACGGTTCTCCTTACTCACGTCGCCCGCCGACTACAGTCTTTCCGACCTCTATCGCCCGTCGATTACGGTCCTCCTGACTTACGTCGCCCGCCGACTACGGTCCTCCCTACCAAACGAACATGTCAATAGTGATTTTTGTATTCATATCATGTAATGTACTCTATAAAATGTACATCAAGCTAAGATCTTCTCCCAAGGAAGGGCCTCATTTGTAATCGACTGCAATACTATTGGATTCATTCAACTGGGCTAGGCCCTGTGGTTTTTCCTCCTTTTCAAGGGTTTTCCATGTAAAAATCTTGGTGTCTCATAAATGCTAGACTCTCACTCTTATCTGATTGCATGCCAGATTTTCGCAACGCTAAGACAATAAACTTTATATTTCTCTACCGCCGTGAATACTCCTGGACACAACAAGTGTTATAGAAATCAGGATGCTCAAGAGAATGAATGGCTTAATACTTCAAAGACAGAATACGAAACAAAACAAGTATATATGTGAAAATATTGGATTAGCTCTAGCGACAAATAAGATTAAATATAGTCACCTTAGATGATTTGGGCACATAAAACTAGGGGCGTCAATTCGGGATAACGGGTTGGGTTTGGGTCGAACCCGGAACTGACCTGAAACTATTAGGGTCAACCTGAACCTGACCCAATTTTTAAAAATGGGTCAGGTTCTCGGACACGAACCCGACCCTATTCGGGTTCGGGTCAACCCGACCGACACGAATGACCCGGGATTGACCCAAAATTGCTAGTTTTCGGGTCAAAATCGGGTCAATCTTCAATTTTCGGGTAAAAAATGGGTCAGACTCGGGATTTTTTTGATCAAATATGAGTTTTTGTGTCAATTTCGGGTTGCTGGATCAACTCGAACCCGACTCGGTTTTTAAAACGGGTTGAGTTGTTGAATCCGAACCCGACCCGTTTCGGGTCCAGGTTGACCCTAACCCGAATTTTTCCGGGTCGTGTTTCGGGTCGTGTCAAAAACTTTGGTCTTCCAATGACCAACTTAGGAGAGTCAATTTATTATATTCGGCCTACGTTAAATAAGATAAAGGAAGACCTAAAAAGACCGACTCAACGTTGTGAGATAAAAGCTTGATATTATTATGCTTAACGACACGGCAATTATGGGTTGTTGCACATAGTTATATTATTGCACTTGCTACCGAATATCGATGGTCAAAGACTTTTTCTTGTTTGCAAATTGTAGAATGTAGATATAGTTTAATGTATGTATTCATGGATCAAATATTTGTATTTCCTTTTATGGGGCCCTGACGAGCTCTTAATTGTCACTAGAAAAAATCTATCATTTCTACTGCTCAATCAATTAAACATGTCAATGAAATTTAATATTTAAATTGAAAGGTCATGTGACAAATGCCACTTAATATTACATCCTAGGATCTTCAGAAAAAGTAAAGTGGTTGGGTATCACTAGCAACAGCCCGAATTCTACCTCATTGATTCTAATCAAATATAATGCAATGCTAATCAAATTTATGTACATACAATCAACTAGGTATCATTATACCTTGATATGACCCATCAATCATTCATTATGTTCAACCCATGTCTACTTTTATATATACTAGTTATATTGCACGTGCATTAAATGCACGTAAATAAAGAATAAAGAATAAAAAAAATTTAAAAGTATTTTAAATAAATTATTTTTCTTAAAATATATTAAGTTTATCACTATTTGTAATAATAGTTATTAATTAAATTAATGAAGAGTAACATATTTTTATTAAAATCATAATAGAAAAAATATATTAATATAATTTTACAATTCCATATTAAAAAATACATATGTTTTTTCTATATAACATTAAAAAATACATGTTTTTTCTATATAACAAATATTATCATAAAAATAATCAATTCATATTTAGAATAAAAGCTCAAAAATATCATTATAAATATGTCGTACTAATCTAAAATAATAAAAGAGATAACAAATTTATCTTATTTCATTCACAAAAGAACATCTCATCTATAATAAAATTTTAATATCTTACAACAATTTCTTTAAAGGCAGTTTTGGTGGTGAAATATGCATATCCGATCCAATGGTAATGTGATTAATTATTTGAAGCAGAACAAACAAAATAAGAGCAAAGCAGCAAAAACCCACGAAGAAACATTTTGTTATCATTGCTGAAAATTTGGAAAATAAATAAAAGAAGCAATATTAAATGAATAAAACAGAAGAACAACCTTGCATACAAGTATTTGAAGTTGTAGTGGATAAGTGGGAAGCATGCAAGTCGAGACACAGTCCATCCATTGCAGAAGAAAGACGAAGACGACTGGAGCCAAAGGACCATATGAAAGTTTCATCAGTAGGCAAGCACCACCAGGGACGGAGCCAGAATTTTTTCCTCGCTAAGAAAAAATTTCTCACATTAAAATTTTTTAGATCCAGAAATGAATAATCAAACAATTTACTAAAAGTAAGCAAATGTTGAAGCAGTTTTCACTTTAATCCCAAATTTACTAAATCTGAAACAGTACTTTCTATCATAATATACTAATAAATGTGAATAAATTGCTCACCGTACCCAAAAACCAAAGCCCATACGCCAAAAATTTTCTCCAAAAACATAAGACCCCTCAAAAAACAAATCAGAAGATCATAATCATGAAAGGTAAAAAGATTTTAGTGTCAAAATCTGCTACCAGATTCAGACATCAAACGTATGGAAGAGTTTGGGGTCGGCTTAATCGGCATCAACAAGCCGTAATCCAAGCAAGAATTACGACCAGAAGAAGACCTCCGGTAGATGCTTGCGATTTCTTGCCCGTTTCCAACTGAAGGATTTCCTCCTCATCCTGAACTATCAGCACAAAAACATTGGAAAGAGAAAGAGTAATTACTTCTTGCGTTGGGATGAAAATAATATATAATAATTTTGATTTAATATATAATTAATGATTCGTAATTATATTTAGTTTGATATTAATAATACAGTCAGTGGGGGGTGCCCCCAGAACCCCCATACTACATCCGCCCCTGAGCACCACCATAAGTTCTATGAACAACATGAACCATGTAAAACTCATATCCCTAACAAAAACAACTACCAAAAATAGCAAAATTAAACCACCAAAACAATAGTTCTAAAGTTTTAACTAAAGAATTCATTTTGTTTCGCTTCCTCCCGAAGAGTTCAAGGTTTCATAGAATTCTAATGATATGGGAATAAGAAAACCAAAGAAAATCAAATACAGTGGGCAGGACCAAAAATGAGATAGAGGACTTACAAGGAGTTGGCATGCTGGATGTCAGCTTCAAGAGCCTTCCGAGAGCCTTCGAAGTAAGATATTCTTCAGGCAAAGCACGCGAAGAAGTTGAAGAAGCTTCTTTAGCAACTCGATCTTTCAATACTAAAGCCGGAGGCTAGGCGAGAGCGAGCCGGTGGGCTGATTCTAATGGAATACTATGAAATACAAAGGAAGTGAATACTAAGTAATTCGTGCGGAAGACGAAGGGTCATGACAGATTGAGGGTTACAATAAACCACATGTAACTCTTCACATAAATCCAAATAAATAAATGAAAAACCCCGCACACGAAAATAAATGGAATGAAGATAGACCGAGCACACCCCCTTCGTCTTCTGCTTGCTTTAATGCAAGTCTTATGTTCAAAAATTAATATGCAATATAATTTAAACGATCATTAACTTAAGATAAATGTTTTAATATTAACGTTAATATTAAAACATTAATGTCATTTGATATAAAAAATAT